ACACACACACACACACACACACACACACACACACACACACACACACACATGTGCGCGCATATATATATATATATGTATATAGGTATATATATATGACAGCAAATATATCTTTTATGAGACCTGCGGAAATTAATGAAAAGTCTGTAACGCAATAAAATTCCCATTTTCTTTCCCACGTTTACTTGTTATCGTCCAGCATTAAAAAGCAATCTTCAAATATTAATTTGCAACGTGGCTAAAGAAGTGAAACAGCGTTCATTAACCAACCGCGAAAACCTCTTGTGTGTTTAACGCGTAGCTGCCTCCTGCGCACAGATTTTTCCGAATTGATATAGGTAACCTTCAAGTTTTCTCCCCCGTTTCTCGGGGAACCACAAAAATGTCGCTAAACACATACGCCTCACCAAAACCAGCGTCTTTACCCTGATTGCCCACTCGTGTCGCTGGGTGCGTGTGTCGTGGAGTGTGTTATCGCTGTGCTAGGGTATAGCCAAACGTAATGCAGCGTCCCATATATATATATACAGTTCCCACAATAGTTTTGCTGTGTTTAAAGTTGTTGCTACATCTTGCTGTTTTGCCGTCGAGGTTGTGCGTACGTACAGTCAAATATGTGTGCAAGAGTTACTCAAGGAAAATGTTAAAAGTGTCCTTTATAGACAGGTGACCGTTTTATAGAAGTTGCCTTTTATAGACAGGTGTCCGTTCTATAGAGAATGTCTCACTGTATATATCTGCTACTCAAGGGAAACGCCAAACCCGTGATTTGTGGCCAAATGTTTCGTTTATAGCGTGTAATTTAAAATAGCTTACACAGGTTTAGCTGCGTAAAGGTGTCCGTTCTATACAGGTTTTCCGCCAACGAAGGGTTGACTATGTAAATGTGACCGTTCTGTGAACATTTCGGCCAACACAGGATTGACTGTGTAAATGTGACCGCTCTACACAGTGTTTCCCCAACAACAGGCACGAAGCTGAACGTTCTACAGAGGTTTCAGCTAACAGCGAATAATAAATACTGCTGTATCTATAGTGGGGTCAGATATGTGAAATAATTGCTGGGTTTTTCTTGTAAAAACACCAAAGTTTATTATTCTTTCTTACTATTCTTACTTCTTTCTATTATTCCTACTATTTCTGCTATTTTTTTACTATGACTATGCTATGGCAGATGGTTTGGCTCCCCTCACACACACACGCGCGCCAAGATCGTCGGGCGCACTTTCTTTCACTAACAATCCCAAGAAATGAAAACAAACGCACGGACGAGCGGATGATGTAGCTCCCTCCCGTGTTTTTCCACAACCGCCGAGAGTTTTTTTTGGGCAGGCGGAGCGCAAAAAATAGACGGCGATTGACGCGCGCGCGCGCGTGTACGTTGGCTGAGTGTGTGTGTGTGTGTGTGTGTGTGTGTGTGTGTGTGTGTGTGTGTGTGTGTGTGTGT